TAAAGCAAACTGTAATTCTTCTGGCTTCTTTGGATGATCTCACTTATATAGGACTTTATTGGAGAGTTAATACCACTGCGCAAAGCATGAACTGATGATGCAGAGCTCAGAAGATCACACAGAATAGATATTCTTTAGATGTGAAAACTGAGATCGAAAACCCCTATGAATGGATTGAGGAAAAGAACTCGGACACTTGAAGTATAATGCCAAGAACTGTAGATTTAGTTAACTCGGTTTCTAACCCTCACATTACCCAGAATATATGTAGTAATTCAGTAAGTATCTAAATAGAATCAGCATGGAAGAACTACTATCACTCAAAAGCTACAGCCATTCTCGTCAGCTGCTTCTGCAGAACTGCTGTTTGCAGGAAAGTATTCAGGCAGGAAAGGAGACAGGGAAATGTCCAATACCCATCCTTTCCAAATATTGAAGAAATTCCACCTTAATGTACATAGGTAGACAAGCTTTCATGCGTAGTATTCTGTCTTCTGCTGTACTAAAGAACTCTGAAAGAAGATATGCTCTTGAGTACTAAATTCAGTTTGTTTACTGTTGATATCAATAGAACAGTGATAACTACTAGATGAGGGTCTTTTGTTGTTTTAACCTCTCTAGCAACATACTAGAAACTCCAAATTTCTCACCTGAACCCTAATACTTCTTTCATCTTTGACAAGATACATAAAGGAACTGACAGTTTCATAGTGTGAGCTCTAAAACAACATTCTGAAAATGAACTACTCCACAACACAACCATCACTGTCTCTTTAAAAACATTTCTCACTTCAGATTCTGATGCAGCTGAAGACCCCAATTCAGATAAAAATGCTTGCAAAAGGTTTCCACCAAAATAGCTCAGTACCAAAGCAGTAAGAAGATTTCCCTGAAATGGTGAAATTTAATATCTTTGATTTTAGGAGACTTCAAAAAAAGGCTTTTGCTACTTCTAATCTCTTATTTTGTTTGCTGTTTGATATAGCTTTTAAAAAGGAGGAAAAAAAGTCCTCCTCTTCCTACTTAGATGAGTCTGTAATTTAAAAAGGCTTACTATAGTTAATATTTATTTTAGTTCCTATATTCGCATGGAAAAATCAAATTTATCATCGCATTGTCGCTTCTTCCTACAAAAAAACAGCAACCCCCTTCTCCCCCCAAAAGAATTCACATTGGAACACTTATTAGGCTAGGTACATTTGTACAGCAACAGTCAATAACAGTGACCACTTTCTTCACTGTATAGATTCTATAACCTAATTCTTAGAGGAATCAATAATTATATATATTATGCAAACTCAATATTATCTTTAATTTTTCTTTAAAAAGGAGAAATTGTGGAGGTATGAATCCTCCTAGTGCAGGAAATCAGAACACTCCTTCAATTAAGAAACTGCAACTGCCTTCAGCTATTACAGAGTTAAGTAACTTATTACAAATGCAATCCTGCATTAGCAGCAATACTCTGTTTCAATAATAGGACACAATGAGTATGCTAATTAGAAAAGTCTATCATGTAAAACAATATTAATTCCACATTAACAACTTTCAAACTAATAGGAAAAGCTTTTAATTGCCATAGTAGTATATTTCTTCACTAAACTACTTTTGTATTACAGAAACAGTAAATCTGATAATATGCTTCAGGAAGAATGTCTGTAGAAAACTAGTACTTCATATTGACTAATAAAGCAACAACATTCTTAAAGGCAAAATTTAGGTACAGCTACAATTTTGTTCCTTCTTGGTTGGTTTACGCAGGAGACACTGCTACTACCACACTCCCACCACTACAATGCTGATATCCTATACTTCATACAAAACTACCCTGTTCACTCATAAAGCAAACATTTTGTCTCTGGAATACAGTTTTAAAAGCAATTAGTCATCAAGTTTACCCACACAAGCAAACATGCTTTTGAGAAAGAAGTACATCAAATCTTTCTCAAAATGTTAAAAATAAATAAATAAATACAGGTAGGGGTACAAATTAGTTCCTTATCACATGTATAGCTTCTCCCTGCCCAAAAGCAGCTCTAAAGAATTCTGCATCAGTTTTATCTCACTCATTTTTTTTCTGTGTTTTGAAAGCTCTTTAGAAAAGTAATACATAGAACATGTGGTTTGTGATTGAGAGTGTCTGCATGTTCAGAAAACTCCAGTTCTAATCCCTAAATTAACTATATTTTATAACTATCCTGTAGCTCAGAAAAATACAGAAGCATAAACAAATAGTTATTTAACTACATGTGCCAACAACTTGACCTGCATATCTGCAATTCAGGTTAAAATATTTTAAGTTGTAAGATTGCAAGAAGATATGCATTTCAAATATTATGCAGCAAGCCTAGGCTGATCACAGCCTAGGCGTTTTTAAGCCAGCAAAAGTAGGTAATGTCTCCTTCTTGCAGTAAATTCTTCTAAAAATAATAATAACTACAGATGAAGGTCATTATTTCTGGCTTTGTTAGTTTTTTTCTTAAGAAGTAAAATGACTCTTGTTTAACAAAACTAGACAGAACTAGAGGTAATGGCCACAAACTGAAACACCAAAAGTTCCACAGGAACTTAAGGAAAAATTTCTTGGCAGTGAGGGTGACAGAGCACTGGAACAGGCTGCCCAGAGAGGTTGTGGAGTCTCCTCCTCTGGAGATCTCCCAAAACCGCTTGGACGCAGTCCTGTGCCACGTGCTCTGGGTGACCCTGAGTGTGCAGGGGGGTTGGACTAGATGACCTCTAGAGGGCCCTTCCAACCTTAACCATTTATGAATTCTATAAATTAACAAAACAAAATAAAAAATGCATTTCTTGGGTAAACTGCATGAGAAAAGCCCAATATGATTTTAGACATTTTTGTTTCAGCTGTTATACATTTTAATTATCAGTGATCTTTATCTACCTATCACTTAGATGACTTAAGGATTGTATAAGCCCCAACAGATCACTGTTTTTACAATGGGTATGAAAACCAGTAAAGATTGAGTCTATGATAAAATGCTACAAGGAGGACTATAAATGTTAATTTCTTAATTTTACAGTTAATGAGTTTGGGATTTAGTATGTTGACAAATCCACTCAGAGATAATCTATCAAAATGTACTTAGGATCTCATATAAATAAATGTAGTAGTTTTTTTTAACTATTAAAATGACTCTGTGGGAAATTCCAGAAAAGTTGGCTCTACCTTCTTAGTTGGCTAACCCAGTTGCAGTCTAAAGCAGTATCTAGACCTGTTAGAGATTTTTATTTACAGATAATGGGAATAATGAAGCTAAAGCCGTAACATCACACTTGGTCAAGTGTTCTCCAAAAATTCCACAGTCTAGATCTCACCACTTTTTCATAGGTAGAAATATTGAGCTTTTATGTACAAATACAGAATGGAAGACAAGATACTACATTGATGGTATTTTTAAAAATACAAATTTTGCAAATGTTTTGCAAAGAAGAAGTATACAATAACTGTGAGAATTCAGGCCTAAATTCTGCTCCTGTAAGGTAACTCTGGCAAATGACTGCCCTCTACTTGTTAATACTAACACATATGAAAACAAAAACTACAACTCACAACTACTTAATATTAATACTACATTTAACCAAAATTTTAAGAAATACACAAAAATACGTATTATACAAAAAAAAAAGTATAGAAATGCCTTAGTTATTTTATTTCATTTGTATCACGTAGAAAATCTATTATTTCTAATTCAGGTCACAAATAGCTAGTTCAGGAAATGGCTAAAAACAGTTCTTCACTAACTTACATAGACATCTCTTTACCATACAGTAGTTCTTGAAAAAGGGGGGCCTCGCTGGACTACAGTTTTTCCTGCCATATTCAAGAAATGGCAACAAAAATTTGGTAATCAGCATATTATTAAGACACTGCTTCAGCCATCAAAATGACCTGCAGGTTACAAAAAAGAAATACTGTGCAAATAAAAAGTCTGTTTTTCTATCTAAACTAAGTTTTGCAACAAAAACAGTAACAGCTAGCTAAAAAAAAAAGAAAAAAAAAGAGAGAGAGAGATAGAAAGCATGGTATTTGGTACTAAGTATTTCATAAAACATTTGGTAATGTGATCCCAAAGAAAGATCTGATAGCACCAAAAAAATCAGAAAAGATACAGGTGTACGAGGAAATCAAAAGTAGTCCCTACATTTTATTAACTTTATCCCAAAAAATGAAAAAAGCCCGGCAAAGTCACTTACTGCTGGAGGGGCTGTGGCGGGGGGGCGGCGCTCGCCTTCCCTCCCCCGGCCGCGCTGGGGCAGCTCTGCGGAGCCTCCAGATCTTTCCCGCAGCCGCTGCGGCCTGAGGAGCCTGGCAAGGCTGACCTGGAAGTGCTAACGCTGAAAACGGAGGTGCCGAGAAAAACCTGAGGGGAAACGACACCCTGGGCTTGCAGCGCAAGCACCACTTCAGTCATGTGTCTGTTTGTTTGTCTAAGAACTGGAGGTAATTTGCAATGAAAAGAAATAAAAGACAAACCCGCCTGCCCGCGCCTCGACGCACCTCAGCGCCGCCGCCCTCGCCT